GGATGGATGGATGGATGGATGGGTGGATGGATGAATGGATAAGCTGTTTCTTTAGGCCTTTATTTTTAAATCAATCCAAATTCATGGGTAAATATCAAACCTTCAATATCAGTGCAAAAAAAAATCAAACAGACCAAATTAATAGTTTCCACCAAGCTTCCTGCTTCCATCAAAATAAGAGATTAAGTCATCTGCAGGGTTTCTAAACCTCAGCAGGAATCAGCAGAGCGATGCAGAGAGAAAATGTTTCAGGCGCAGAATCATCTTCAGAAAACGTTTCCTGACCTCCATCAGAGGAAGCACTTTAATATGTTAGTGCCTAAAGACCCAGAGCCCAGAGATGGTGCAACTGGAGTCAACAAGTCATCTCTATGTCATATATTTGTTCTGTTCAGCGACTGAGCCAGGTGAGTCCAACAAATACATGACATAGAGAAGACTCCAGATCCTCCATCTTTGCCAGAACCCATCAGTGATCTCCATGAAACCCCTAGAAGCATCCTCAGTGATTCTGCTTACCTGGTAAAAATCTGGAAGTATCTGTCGTCCTGAATCCCGTCCTCCAACGGGACGTTCACGGCGTACCATCGGCCTTTTCCTAGCCCGGTGTCACTGAGGTCACCGGTGCCTGAAAATAGACGCCCTTATTGTTACACCACCTCATAATAAAGAGGATAAGATGGGGATCAAGGTTCTGGCACATTTAGGAGTTTTTAAAATGATTCTAAAAATCCCTTTTCCTTTTCTTTCTTTTTTTTTAACATCCTGAACATTTGAAAACATCATATTTACCTTTAACTGCCTCAATAACCATCAGTTCTTATCTGATATGAAATATGAATTGATTTTCCTTCTATGCGATGATTAAAGAAAGTGAAAAAGAACAATTAAGGGCAAATAACTGCAGATAATTAAAAACACAGCTTGTAAATACTGCTAAATTGATCCTGTTTCTAATTTATAGCCTTATTTATAGGATTTCTGAATAAAATGACAGTAAATTTGAAACAAAGGAAAACATTTAGGTTAAAAATAATAATTTGAGAAACTGACCGGGAAAGAAACCAGGAGAAAACTTGTGGAGAGAAACCGTCATAACCTTGGATGTGAAGCTGAAGGCCTCTTCCACACCTAGGGAAAAAAACAACAACAATATGAATTAAATCCATCTTTAGAAGATTAAAGAGTATCAGGTATTAGAATTAGAAGAAGAGATCATGTCATTTCCCTGTTTACTGTAATTTAAAGATCAGTATTCCCAATTTATTAGATCTTATAAAACAATTCTGTGAATCTTTAGGATATAGAATTAATAATTCTAAATCAGAGTTAATGTTTCTTAATGAAGAAGAAATGAAAAGTCCTAGTGTGGTTACTCCATTTAAAACAACTACAAAAGGTTTTACATACTTAGGCATTAAAATCACGCCATGCCTCAATGAAATAGGTGCAGTAAATTATAATCCCCTTGAGGAAAAAGTCACAGAAATGCTAAATCGATGGTCAAATTAGCAAATATCCATAATAGGATGAATACATATATTAAAAATGACAATTTTGCCCCAATTTCTGTACTATTTTCAAAGACTTCCACTTCCTGATTCATTTCATGACACTCTGGACAAGCTGTTTAACCAATTTATTTGGAGTAATAGAAAAGAAAAGGCTCCGTTTGAGGCTATCACTGGAAAAATGGAAATCTAGATGAGTCATTTTTTTTTCTTAAAAAAAGGTGCATTTTTTCTTGGATTGAGGAGGTAAAAGAGACATTTTGCCAATTGAACAAGACAATTAACACTTAAAATAAGACAACACAATTGCATTGTCTTGTTTCAAGTGCATATTATCTAATTATCTTATTTAAAGAAAAAAAAAAAACTCTTTCCATTGGCAAATCATCTCATTTATCTATTTAAATTAAGGGTAAATACACTTAATTTAAGACATTTTTACTTATTTCTAGATTGTTTTTCCAGCGTACTCTTTCAGCCTTATGAAAGAGGTGGACTTCAAGTCCCGAATCTCAGATGGTTTTATATGGCCGCCCAACTAACACCAGCTACTCATTACTTTAATCTGAGGACATCTCCAGCTTGTGTAGACATCGAACAGCGATCTGCTCCAGATTTCCCCTTAAACATCTTTCTATATTCTTCGGATATAAGAACACTAAAAAAAAACTACAAAGAATACTTTCTTAAAAAATACAAGGTGACCGTCACAAGTTACCCCTATAAGGGGTAATGAAAAGTTCACGCCATGGAAATATGATGGAGGATTTAAATTATGGAAAAGCAAAGGCATTCAGAAAATGAAAGACGGCAGGTTTCTTACTCTCGATCAGCTATGTAGAAGAATAAAGAGCAGCTCTATTTTTTGCTCTTGCACTCCGTACCGTCTCCGTGATGCAGGTCAACATCCACGTACAGCACTCGCTCAAACTTCTCCCTCAGCTTCAGGATTCCCAGCACTGCGTCGTTCACATAGCAGAACCCCGAGGCTTCATCCCTGGGGAGACGAACGCCGAGGAGAAGCAATCAGAAGCTGAAACTTCTCCTCTTTGGCTTTCATATCCAAACTCTACCCCCAGTGCTGCTGGAAGTACTTTTGAACAAGGGGTGAAAAGACCTATGAGTCTATAGGCCTATTTAAAATACAATAGTGATAAATAAGTACATTGATTGG